TATCTACTACTGATAATAATTGAAAATTACAATGAGTTTCACTACTAGATCAAAACTTCATTTGATCAATATGAATTAGGTGACACGAGTGTTCTACAGAACTTAAATATTATTCTTCAAGTGTTGCGGCTTACATTGTAAAATGTTGTAGGTCCTGGAAGATACCCGTCATGTGACGTTCTCTGTTTCATAGTGATACCATATTTAGAAGCATGTTGTGACAACGAAAACAAAAAAGAGGCACTAATAATGTTTATTTTTTTTTCTTTGTCTAAGAAGGCACGTGGAAAGTAGTGTATCTTTCCGGAGAACAGAAGATAACAGCTTAGCTATTTATAACCCATATGAGATAACGTTATACTCTATTTTGTTTGTTTACTGTCAAATCTTTCATAATTACTTTTTTTCAGGTCTAGAAAGAAATAACTAAACTTTGTTGTTGTAAATGATGTAATATGAGAAAAAAACAAATGAATATTTCTATCAAAAAATGTATTTTCGGATTGAAAAAAGGTATTTTGTATGAATGTCACGTATTATAAAAGACTAAATTTTCAAAGAATATGAATAGAATCGTTTATATGAATATAGGTTTGTTTTTTTCATATTCACGTTAATGATTACGACTCCAGGATCCATGAATTTCCGGCGAGAATTCGACGGAAAATATCCCGTTCCCTGTCAGAAACGTCTAGAAAATGGTGCAAAATTCGAAGCAGGAATCCCATGATCGAATTTGTTGACTGGATTCTTTAAGTTTCGGAGTGAAACTATTGTCACCGAGCAGAGCTCACTACCGGATTTCTGGTCCGAAGTTTCTGAGATCTTCCCGAGTTTTTGACTGGAAACAACCGATAATTTTTGATCTGCATATAAAAAGAATGTCAAATTTTTTTAGCATTCTTTTTTAATAATGTATCGATCAATCTCATAGTTATTCTAAATCGAGTATTATATAAATTTTCCTATGATAAATAATGTTTCTATATTAAATTTGAACAGTAGAAAATAAAAGAAATTGTCTTACTCTAAAGATATCGATTGTAACGAATCCAACGAATGTAAGAGTGCTTGATAAATATAGACTGCACCAGGCAACTAAATACAAGTCAGTACGTCGGTGCTGCTTTCATTATATTGCAAAATGTTTGTCGATGTGATGAAAAAAATAACGACTAGGAAAGGAAAAAAAAATGCGGATCACGTGTGGTTAATTTGCCTTAGTATCTTTCAGTATTTTTTAACGACAGCTGAATAGTATCGGTTGTTATGTTTTTGTTCTCTTCTATTTTTCATTCGCTATATTTAATCTACCTGAAATTAGAAACCAATAATGGCCTGGTTGGACGGGTATTTCTTTTTAATCGTCCTACTGGATGTTGAAGACGTTTTTTATTCGTATGATCGAATGAAAAAGGGCAAGCAAAAAAAAGATAAAATGATGGAAATAAATAACATCTGCATTTAAAATAAGAATCAAGCAAAAATAGTACAAATTTTTGTTTCTTTTCTCTAGAATATAAAATATAATGTAAACAACAAATACGCAGAATAAGTTTGAATTCAAATATAGATTTATCTACTGCAAGACGACAAACAGTAGTAGATTATGAGCCATTATTTCGATAAAAAAAGGGATAAGCATTGACTATTGTAAATACTTCTAGTATTAAGACTTTTCTCCTCGTGTTTTTCTGTTCAGTGTTCAATCGGAATGAACAAGTCCCTACGGAAATTAGCTTTAAAAGATTAATAAAAAAAATTATTAAATATCGAAGACAATCCATCATTTACGATTCACTGCTGTCTTTAAGATGCATAAGACCTATGACTAACAAGTTATCATAGTAAATTTGAAATACGAAGGTCGCTCAAACAGTTCCGAGCCTAATTTTATTTTAAAAACAACGAGAAGTACTGTTGAGTTAACATTATTGCCTGCGTATAGTTCATACAGTCCTCAATATGTAGATGCCATGAGCTGTGCTCTTTTAAACATTTATGTTCAGATACAGCTATGCGTTTCAGATCACCTCATAAACATCGATAAAAAAACAAAAAACTTGAATAAAATTTTATGTTTTGTATGGTGAACCTATTCAATGCTTAGGAATGTATGGTTGTTGCTTACAGTGATAATTTTCTATCATTCACGATGGCTAAGGAGAGAACTCATCGTTTTAAAGATGATTAAATAAACATTTATATATGAACAATGTATAGTTTTTTAAATGATACAGAATGTGATATTCATCTTGAGCACAATGCAGTCATTTGTCATTGATCATGTAAAATGCATTTGAAAATGTTAAAAGTGTGCGCTATTTACTGTATTGTGATTACAGGTTTTTCGATAACTAAGCTTCCAAATTTTTTAATATTCATATCGTCCATATTAAGGATCATCGTCAATACTTAATTGTACATTTTTAAAACTGAAATTTTATTCAGAAACTGTATTGTGTGATGAAGTATTTGTCACCATTAATTATCCCCAAGGGTTCATGAATATTGGATGAAGATTGCTCTTCTAGTGTTGGGAACTTTATCATTGAAGGATAGTTAGATATTTATGATTTCCTACTAGCGTATATGGAGTGATTTAAAAAGTATTGTTATATCTCGACATAAGTGCGTAATCAATCAAAGCTCATGACGTCTATAGATCGACAAGTGGATGACCTACACATAAACAATAAGATTATAGCAGCAATATCATTTGTTGTTTTTAAATAAAATCAATCTCAGAACTTTTCGATTGACCCTTGTAACAGAATAATTCGTATGGTCACTATCTATATTCGCATTATTCCTCAAGCAGGTTTGAATTTGAATGTGAGTCTGTAAAATCTGATTTCTTCAATAGTTACATTTAAATAGTAAAAATAGAATTCACATTTATACTAAAATATCTTCTTTGACAAACCAAATATTACTCTTACAATTTATATCAAATTCCATTTTACAAAAAGAATAAAGCAATTTTTTTTTCAAACTGATAACAAATTATGAAGATGCGTTTAAGCGGTTTTTTATCATTGTTTCTATACTTTGTTCGTTGGTATCTTAAATAAAAACAAACAATTCAACATCTTTTACATATTTTAATGCTTTGAAAAACATCGTTTTACAATTAAGAATTGCGTCAATTCTTCAACATTATCAATGTTTGCGCATGATCTGACTTTCACATATACACAACGTATTTCTATATATCGTTGATCAACTGTACTAAACATTTGTATTATAAAAATAAATGGATGTTTTTAAAAGAAAATTTAGTATTTTAACGTATTTTGTCATGCATTTTCACAACGCTAAATTTCTTTACAGTACAATGTAATATCAACGGACGCTCTTCTTTCGTATAAAGATAGAAGAAAACAAATCAATTGATGTGTCCCAAAATTCATATAAAAGCGAGCACATGTTGAACAAAAAAAAAAGGTTTCCATGAAACAGAAATGTAAAAATTAGATTCAGTACTCTGATGCTAGTAGACTTATATTTGTCAGACATTTTTAAAATAAATTTCGAATGTTCTTATTGATAGTCTATTGTAACTGGACTGATACAAGAATACATTACATTTCAATATTTTCTATTTTATTTCATAATCACATATGTAGATGATCCAAGAGTACTAGGAAAATATAGAGAAACACTGCAAGTGGCACGTAGTGCAGTTTAATACTGAGGTCAACATCATTTATCATTCAAGTTTTACTACACTTGTAAAGAATAAGAGAAGAAATAAAAAATAAATAGTAGAGTTGTAGTGTAGGAACAATAGAAGAGTTTTGTTCGGGAAAACAACATAATGAAAATGTACTTTGTACCCATATGGTATCTGGTGTAAAATGAGCTGGTTTCTATTATGATAAAGTGCACTGAATGCTTATAAGGGAATATTTTCAATTGATCAATCGCTTTGTCACAAAAAGACTACTGAATTATAGTTTATCCATAATGCTAATTTCAAGACATTGTTTGCTTTATGAATTAACTCTCCTGTCTTATTTTTCTAATACAAGCTCTAAATCTTGATAGATCGACATTTGAGCCTTTTAATAGTTGGACTCTCGAAATGTGAGCATCAATAGACTATTCAAGTAAAAAATAATTATATTTGACATTTGAATAAACAAACTAGACATTAAAACACTAGTTGTCTCAAGTCATGACGGAACTACAGAGGGAAAGTCACGAGTCAGCTGACTCACAACTCATCACCTCAGTCTCGACAGTTCTACCACGATTTGACACACTAATATCTATTTATTTGTCAATAAAGTTTGAAATGAAATAATTTTTTTATGTTTATAATCTGTTGAGGCGTCATCCAAAATCTTATAATATATTTTTTAATACACATCTAGAAATTAATTTGAACGCATCATGTCCTCGAAACAAGATAATAATCATAGAGTTAACGGACAGAATTTTTTCAGCAAAAAAAAAGCAAAAGAAATACAGATTTTCTATCGAATTTATAGATGATGATAAATGAAGCCTATAAAGTAAATGCCTCATTACATTATAGTCTATATTATATAAAAAATATTTCAAAATGTTCCATTAGATAGTTTATAACGCATCATTAAATTCTAAAGGATTTTAGTTCGGTTATTGTTAGCTGAGTCTATTGACGGCAAAAAATAGACAAATATTCAATTATATCATTAAATGGTCATTGCATACAAATACATCAGTTAGAAAATCTATTTTCATATTTCAATTTTACATTTCATCTTAAAACATCAAAACAAGATAAGACTACCGTCATTATTTATTTCGTATTTTTTTTATCAATATGAGGTATAGCAATAGGTATATAAATATTTCTCTAGTTCGATATTAGTACCAATAATTAGGGCACATACATACATAAACACAAAACAGAAAGAAAGAAAGAAAGAAAAAGAACCAGACAGACTAGGTGAAAGAGATTAAAAGTTTGGAAGAAAACTATTGAGTATATCAATCATATTATGTTTATATCAAGACATTCTAGAAAAAAATAAAATCATAACAATTTATTTGAAAGAAAAACAACTTGAAAACAATACCCAGCTTACATATCGCCGAAAATACCAGCAAATGTTTTCTTTAAATTTGCAAGTGTATCTTCTGATTCATCTTTATTAGCAGAATCTCCACCCTTGCAAAAAAAGAAAAAGAAAACAATCAATGAAAACTAAGAAAAAATCTTACTTCAACTACATTTGATGTTTGTTTACGAAGTGTTTGTCCTATATTTCCCATCCATTGTGATGGTGTTGAACGTGATGTACTAATACTATTTGTAGTATTTGTCGTTGAAGAATTATAGAATGGATTTTGACTTATAGCTGATGATGATTGATTATCAACACTCGTTGTATTACGTGGAACATTTGGTAATTCTCGACGATTGCTATTAGAAACTTGTGTTGTTGATGATGGTACAGTTTGCGTATTTGTTGTTGGAACTGATATAGAGTCATTAAGTGGTGATGGAACCTTTGTTATTTTTGGTAATTCATGAATAGGTTGCTCAACACTTGGTACTCGACTTTAATTTACAAAGAAAACAACAAATGAACATTAGTTATTTAATAGATTTGTTTTTCTTACGTCATCATAGTTGGTTGTTTATCCGGTCGACAATAGATTTGCATTTTGTGCAGTACAAGTTCTGCAATACATCGACGATCTTCATCTTGTGATTCGCCTAATAACTGCATACAACTATCATTAACCTAAACAATAAATCTGAATTAGAACAAAATTTAGTTTTTTGTTTTGTTCTAACCTGTACAATATATTCTTTTCCATCTTTTGATTGAACTATTTCAATAGCACACATGTCAAGTCCACCAAATAATTGACTAACTTCATCAATCCACAAGCGATATCTTTAAAAACAAAAAACAAAGATATTTAAAAAAAACTAATTTAATTACATCTACCTATCAGTCATTTCAATTTGTTCAAGCATTGCTGAACCTGTATTAGCTTTCCAATTACCAGTTAATGATTTTCGACTAAAAATATAAAAATATTTAAAACAATATTTAATTAAAAAACTATCTCAAACATCACGAAGTCATATGTGTAAGAAGAGAAAAAAAATTCAGAAAAAGTCCTAATGGAAAGCAAACATTGAACAACATCATAAGTAGTCATTTTTTATTCTTATGTAAATATTAATATAAAATGCGTATTTATTTTATTAATTGAACTTGAAAATTATTTTTTTAGTATCTTTTTTTTTTCAATTTAACTCACATAAAAGCTTTATAATATTGTCCAATTTTTTGTACATAAACATCACAACGTCCATCAATATATGGTTCAACTGTTGAATAGCAATTACTGATTGCAACAACACTTGTTAGATCTTGATAATCGTATGCATTTTCAACTCTAATCTTAGAAAAATAAAAAAAGAACAAAATTTCGTTTCTTAATGAGAAAGTAAATGATTTTTTTAAAATATAAGTTACTTTTCCTAAACCTTGATGAGCATGTCCAACTTTAACTACAGATGGAAATTGAGGTGAAATAAGCTGAAATTTTCAAAAAAAAAAGTAATAAATTTAATATGTTGATAAAAAAAATGGAAATACTAAATCTAAACTAGTGAATATCTTTAAGCTACTCATCCATGAATTACTCACCATTTCTCGATGATTTGGATAATAAGCTTGACTTATTAGTGGAAATTGATCTGTACCTAAACGTCGTTGAATATTAAGTAATTCAGCAAACTATGCAAATAATTATTCTAAATTAAATTTAAATCAGTATAGAAATCTTACAATCCATGGTTTATCTCGAAAATTATACAAGGCTTTCATTGAATTAACACCAGGTAGAGCTCCATATTGCATTCCAAGAATAAGATTTGTCCAATCAATATTAATATCTCTGACATACTGTCGAACAAGCACAAAATCTGGTCGAAATGATCTTTTTTTATTCAAACAAAAAAAAAAATCATTTTTTTAAAAAAGATACTTCATTTATCATTCATACCGAACGACATGTGTTCCATTTCGATAAATATTTATATCAACTAAAGTGCCCGCATCAGAATAAGCTGCCAAATTAATATCTTTAAATTCCGCCTAAAAGAAAGAAGACAAGAGTAAAAATAATTTTTTTACTTATTCTTTTAATTTTAATAAAGTATGACATTTGAATATGGGCTCTATTCTTGTCAGTATAACAGATAATGATACTTATCATCATCTTAATTAAGTAAATTTCATTGGTGAAAAGAAAGAACTGACATACACTCATAGAATATTATATCACGCAAATGTCATTTTTTTTTCTATTAACGACACAACACATAGGTACATAAGCAACACTTATATATAAAAGACCTGTTCCACACGAATATCATAATCAGCAAAAATTTTTTTGCCTTTGAAATATTTACTCCTAAGATAATTTAAATAATATAAAGAAATAAATCAACTGACTAAATGTTCATATTTACCAATCAGTATGTTGATCATCGATAACTAATAATAATTTGAATTTTTCTTTTGATATTGATTGTTGCTGATCTTTTGTTGGCATCGATTGAGAATGATGATGATGGTGATGATGAGGATGAGTATAAGATATAGATGATGATGATGGTGTCAATCCTGTTCCTGCTTGTTGGTGTGGAATTTGTTGAATAGCTTGGTTAACAACACCACGTGCAGCATTCATAAATTGATTTGCCAACGATAAACTTCGAGTAGGAGAACTTGGTGCACTGGTGTACTTTGATGATCTTGGTTCCCATGCTGATTGACGACTTACATTACTTTGGGATGTCATATTCATATGAGGTTCCGTTGACGTTGGCATTGTCATTGTACTGTCGTCATTTTCATTTTGAAGATCTCCGGAGGAGAAACGTCGTTTCAAATAGTTCATCATTGTTACTATACAATTTGCATTATTAAAAAAAAATGAATTTATCTAAAACTAGAAAAAGAAAAAGAAGAATATCCTTGAATGTTCTATTGCAATGTAGATGTTTCTGTTCAAGTAAAGGATTGATTATTCTTTTTTTTTGTATTTTTTTTCTTCTCTATTCATATTACAATCAGCATCACGCTACATCATTCTAGTATTTCTCATTTATATGACGATTCAGTGTTGTTCTTCTAACACATCAAAATAGAATAGTCAAATTGTTTACCGAAAACGACGTGCCTTTGTTAGAAATATAAGAATATATTTATATAAACGGTGTCGATAAGCCATGGAAAGCTGCACAAAAAAGAAACACGAGCTTTTATATAAAACTGTGTGTGAGAGAGAGAGAGAGAAAGAATACTAAAGAATAACACTAGTCGTACCGAGTGCGAGAAGGAATCCTTCCGAAAAATAAAAGATTCATCAGAATCCATCTTGTTTCCTGTCGTGCATTTCCATGCTCTAGAGTTGTTGGACGTTGAGTGGAGAACGTCTATAGTTGTTGTCTAGAAATAGTTATACTATCAATAGAAGAGAAGCAGAAAAGCGTAGAAACATGAACATGAAGAACACTGTGATCGAACTAATGTTTATGATCGTTAGTATCTAGGGAATTAGACAACAAAAAAAAAGAAGACCTTGATCAGCGAATGAGTCGCTCATTTATAGATGAACAACAGAATAAATAAGATTACTAGATTATAAAAAGAAACAATAAGAATACAAAGCAAAAATTACCTAGAATAATAGAATGTGACAGATTGATTGAAAAAGCTAAATTGATGATGAACCATCACTATTTTTTGACAAAGAGAAACGTCATATTTCTCTTGTCGGTCTCAACGAAAAAAATAAATAAAGAAGGCATAAGAAAGGACAGCAACAACGATGCAAACGGCAGCCATACATAAGCTACAAAGATCGATGTCTTTTTCTCTCTCTCACATTTTCTTTTGCACGATCTCCCAAAAAAGAACAGAACACCCGACGGAAGATAAAAAAAAAAAAATGCATGCATGCAGAATGTAAAAAATGTTCATTAGTTGTCAATTTGACGCACGACATAGCAGGAACAGATGTCGCCGGTAGATAAATTTTGTTTCTGTTAAACTATTACTGGCAACACGCTTACAACAGCATTAAAAAGATTTTCAATTGAGCGTATAGTTCAATCATGTATAAAAATTCCAAAATAATTTTTAAATGTATCGTATTAAACTTACAGAAAAAAAAATTTCTAAATTGACTAAACAAAAATTTATCAGATGTAATACAATGTCTTCTGGCATCTGTGTTCTATTTGATGTTAATGACATCATTTTCAATCATCAAGATATATCGTCGACAATTAATATTTCTCTATCAATAACAAGGTAACTTTTCTACCTTGTTTTAATGTGCATAAATATTGCATAACAACGTTTCAGTTTAGATTTTTCTTTGTTATCAAGAGAATGACATGACGAAAAAAAAAAAGAAGAAAAAGAAGCAAAAGACAAGGGTAATTACTTATCACATCAGTAATGCCAGCTGGTAATTCATGCATTTCAGTTCGAAAGAAAAAAAAGAAATAAAAAAAGAGACCAAGGTTGTATCTATATGTGAACGAGTTTAGTGATGCGTGACTAAAGGTACATAGACTGGAGAAAGACATCTGAAAAATTCAATAGACAATATCAGTTCTAATAGCCTTTGATTACTGTACATGATATAACGTTATTTTATTTGCTCGATATACATAAGTCATGTGATTTTGTATTGTAGAAAAGAATAGTTATTCTTTCAGTTGATTCTTACAGATTTTTATTAACAGCCATTTTTATATTTACAATTCAAGGAGATCTTTACATCAATCACGTTCATTTACCGGTAAGAGATTCAATCAGAACCTTGTCGTAGCAGTAATGTTGAAATACAAGTTCTCACAAGGCAAAAGATATGTTTATATTGAATGAACATTTTAGTTATTGATAGAGGTGCAAATAGATCGATCTTAAGAAAAAAGAAAGTAAATTTAAATAGCAGCCATATTTCTGCTTTTTTTAAGTTGTAAGTATAGATTTATTTCATTGAAAAAATACCAAATATTAATTATTTATTAATAGAAAAGAAAACGAATTATCAACTTTGCTTTTTCTTCTGTAGTTTATAGTTTTTCTTGAATAATCGAAGATGAATCGTCTATATTCAGTTTCACCATATATTCAAACAACAATGGCACAAGCCATGCAAGCAATACTGACTGGTAGTCCATTGCCACCCAATTGTTTTGTTGTAGCTATACCGATGAACCAGGCACAACAAATGTTTCCACCATTAATGATGAATTATGAAACGGGTGGTAGTGCAATGGCATTTTCTCAACCATCATCATATTATGGTCAGCTGTATCAATCACAAACAGGTCCATATCCAAATAATCAACAATTAAATGCTATTTTACCTTATCCAAATCATTATTCACAAGGTTATAATCAAAACCGTAATTATCCTGTAATTCCATATGTTGATAATAACAATCAATCAAACAAAAAAAATCGCCATGATAAAAAATATCGTTCGGAACCACATTCAAATGTTTATAATTCATCATCATTTGATACTAATATGGAAAATTTAAGTTGGAGTCGATTATTTGGCCACCATCATCATCATCGTCATCAATCAAAACCACGAAAACAGGATCAAGGTGCAATAGGTTATGAACAAAAACCACATTCAATAAAACAAGAACAACAACAAAAACCAGCACACCCAGTTGATTCTGTAACATTATCATCATTATCATCAACAAGTTCATCATCAACTCCAAGTGATGAGTCTATTCGACGAGTAAATGTATCAACTAAACAACCAGCTGCACTATCGTCTTCAAAACAGCAACAAACAAAAGGTAGTTTACCATTTAAATATTCCTCGGATTTTGTTCCAGCTAATGGAAAGCAACAATTACAAAAATCCAATAAGCACGATACAAAAGTTAAAGCTGATGATGTTTTCTTTGTTAAAACAGTTCAAAAATCGCAGCCACCATCAAAAATATAATTCCAGCACTAACTACAATACAACGCCAACAACAAAAAAAGAAGAAAATATGATTTTTTCTTTTTTTTTCTTTTAATAATAAAACTTCTCATCTCTTTTTTTCTAAATTAAATAACTTTTGCATTGTTTTTTTTTCTTGACTATATATATTTTCAAAATCTTTAAATAGAAATAGATATATATATATATGTTGATAAAGAGTCACCAGGAACTTAAAATAATCATCATCTGACACATTTTGTACAGAAAAAAAGAAAAGAAAACAAAACAAACATCATACATATTTTTGACTGTCCTTTTTTTTGATTTTTAGAATAATATTGGTTGTTTTCTTGTTTATCGAAAATATTCAGCAGGAATGATAATAGTCGGTTGTTGATTTGTGCGATCAACGATTGGATGCAGACGAAAATGTTGAGTAGATGGTTCAAAATTATTATTTTTTTTTTGAGGAAATTGAAGAAGACGAGCATTGGTACTTTGACTTCCACCATCAATGTCAAGTACCATACGTGTATGTTTTAGAAATATCATTAAATCATCAGGTTGATTACTTGATCGTTCGAAATTAACTGTTTGATAAGGAATACGAACACCCATAGAACGGCAAAGAACAATTGGAGCACAGGGCGAAGGTGAACCACTTTAAGAGCAAAAAAGAACTTATATTAACATATATATATATATACGTATATTAAATATTTAATTACTTATGTACGGTTAAAACAAGACCAGTTAAATGATGTCGAATAATATAATCACGATAGCCAATATGTTGAATTTCAAATACTTGTGTTTCCGCTTCATTCTATAAATCAATTTTATAATATATAAAAAATGAATATATATATATATATATGAATACACACCTGTACATTTTGATCTTGTTGTACTAAAGTTGAACGTTCAGGGGTAAATGTTATAAATTTACCTGAATGAACAACCTCAATTAAATATAAACCATCAGGTATATTTTCACTCTATGAAAGGAAATAAAATTTTAAATACAAAACAAAAAACAAAAAAATTAATTTATATAAAACTTTACCGCGAGAAACCACTGATCATGCATGGTATTAATGCCGTTTTTCTTTTTTTTTTCTACTTGGATGGTTTGTTTTTGGTATGCGTTTAGAGCAATGTATTTCTACTGTTGCGTATTTATTTTTGTTGCTGCTGCTATGAATGTTGTCGACAAGCTTCAGCGTGCGGGACGACGAAGAATGAATCGCTCTCGTAGTGATCGTGGCAAACAGGCAGCACACACTACAGCTACGTTCACATCATCATCATTGACAACGATGGTCGGAAAAAAACAGAATGATGAGAAAGAGCAAAACGAGACGCAAAAAAACGTGTGTTTATGTGATGAAATCACAACTGAAATGAATTGAAGTCTTATGACAACACCTGAGATAATGACACGAATAAATATACGAATAGAGATTTTGTAATATAAGTTTATATAAGAACTAAAAAAGGCAAAAATCACAAGAGAAAGAATAAAAGCAAATTTTATATATAGCAGAAAAAAAAACGAAGTCATTAACGTCATATGTATATCATATGTTTTTACGTATATAGAAATTCATTGATCGTATACATATTATCCTCAAGTTAACTTGTTTTTTTTTTGTCCTCTGTTATCTCAAGGATCTAGTAACGATAAATGAATCATCATAATAGCTGGTTTTATGCGTACTATACTATATTTCTCTTTTTCTTTATCGGCAACAGCACGCGACCCGATGATGACGATAAACTTTCTTTTTTTTTTTTCGTCTTATATTCTCATAAAAGAAAGAAGAGAAAAGAGAAGTAAAGAAAGAAGAAATTCTATGCCAATCATAATACTATTGACTCACCTTGAAATGTGCACGGGTTTTTATTATATTTCAATTAATGTGTTAGTATATGACATGTTCATTTATTTTATTATAATGTTAACAGTTTGTTAACTATTGATCGAGATGATTATTAGACACAGGGGTATTCCGAGGTCACTAGAATTGAAGAGGGTTCGATGACTCAGAAGGGCAAGTGGTAGATTTTTTAGAAGAAGTCAAGCATGTTTTGGAAATTGATGAGCAACTAAAAACAATAAACTGCTGGAACTCTGCTGATGAAAAACGAAAATCATTCAAGATGAAAAGAGACCGAGTCACTTCTCCACTTGGAACATAAGATTATCATGCATTATTGTTTCAATTTGTTGATTGAGTTAGAAATCTCAACTTCGATGAAATCTTTCTATATATCAATATGATAAGAACTATTTTTATATGTAAAAAGTCTATCATTTACAAATATTTGTTCGTATTCAAATCAAAGTTTTATTTTCATTGTCATATATGAGTTGAAAGAATAATTTTAATAAGTAAATACTTAAATAATATCAATGTTATGATGAAACTTTAAAAAGGTGCAATATTTTTTATATTTATCATTCAAATCTATGATTTAACCGTTTTTGTATATTGAATGTTAAAAGAACAATAACTTGATATAGGTTTATCATAAATTTTAATATCTTTTATCGATTGAGTTAATCGCAAAGACTTTATCTTTCGATAAACAATCGAGATACATCGTATTCAGTATCATAGATGGTGAAAAAATGTCAAGCAGTAAACCATTTTCTAGTCTTAAGTTCTCAAATAGCAATGTAAAACATTTCCGTTAATAAATTTATTATAGATCAAGTTTCTATTAATTATGAATCATCAAAAATGAGATTATCATGCATTCTGTACAATAATTTTATTCAAAATAGCGCTCGACATCAATTTCGATAGATTCAATTGAAACATCTTGAACCTCGTTGTCTATGTTTATTCATATGTTATGTCCGTATCTGCTTGAGTTATTAGTATGCTTAACTAAATCATCGATAGATATATATTGTTATTTCGCCAATAAAATCAATAAGAAAAATAAATTTCTATCGCATGATTGTAATAAAATAATATTAACAAAAGCTAGATCAAAGAGAAATAATAAATTTCTTCAACTGACCAAACAATGATGACTCATTTTACAATAATGTATTACTAAGACGTACAACAAAATATTCAATGGTATGCATACAAATAATTGCCGGTTGTGAGATGCAAAATGATGACTTTGGTGTTATTTCTGTTTACGAAACTCTCTTTGAACAATACATGAAAACTAACGATTCAGATACATAAATATTTTGGTTAAAAAACAGACTTTCCAAAGCTAATTATTGTAAAACATCTTCAGCGATGAAATTTTAATTTTACTATGTATAATAAAAGTTGCTAGAACAATACCTAGGAGACTAAAATGTGAAACATGATTTAGCTGCACTTGCTAATCACATGAGGGTTGTTTCATTTTATTTATATTGTGACACATTTCTTCACCATTCTTTTACTTAGACCTTCAGAAATGCAATAGGGAAGTAATTCATATGTTATAATGAGTCATTATTGATATACGATCTTTGATGTGTCTGTCACGGTCTGTAGGAAAGGGAAAGGGAGATGTAAATTTCTATCCTATATACTTTAATACTCCTTTTAGATCGTGTTTCAGAAAAAGTTGATCATTTATAATCACCATCGAATTATAAATAAAACAAATAGTCATACATACAATATCGCGCAAAGGTAACTCTATCGAAGAAAAAACTTGAATGTATCCGCCATCGCTTAACTAAATAAGGTAATTCTTTACCACTGATGAAGAAGTATTCATAGGTCATCTTTATAAGAAAAACATTGACAAACACTATTTTGAAGTGTCATCATTAACTTCAGTAAAAAACTGTACTCTTTCTCTAGTTATGAACTTGCAATACAATTGTTTCGTTGGTCAAAAACAACCTATATATTTTTTTGTAGTAATTCTCCAGACTATTGTCGTTTGGTGTAAAATCTATATCACAGACGTATGTCTTGTTATTCATTGTGTTCTAAAAGTTCTCAGCTATCAATAGTAAGGACTTACTGAAAAAACTGCAATATGATTTTTTTACAACTCATGAAAAGTTGATCGTTTTTTAATTGAAGTTAACGATAATATTTCAAAGCAGTGTTTTTCTTATAAATATGATCTACGAATACTCCTTTATCATTGATAAAACGAAATCCGGTCATTTAATCAAAATATGGCGGAGACATTCAGATTTTTTCTTCAGTATAACGACTTTTAGGCCACCCTAATATAAAAAAAATGAAATATATTGTCTTGAAACAGATTGCATATAAATGAAAAATCCTCAACTTTTTCTCATTTTGGTGTTATACAGAATTTGAAAGTTTTGCTAGTCTTGTTTGTTATCAGTTTTTTTTTATCGCCGAAACTATACTAAGTTTGCTGAAGATCTTTTATATAGATAGCTTATCAAAAATATTACTACCAGAAAGTAACATATAGTTTAGATTGACGAAAAAATTTTATTTGTTTTATAAATTGGAACTCTTTTTGTCTATTGGATTGTCTGCAATCGTTTGCATTATAATCTTTTTCCAATTGAACATATTTATTCATTTGATCGTAAACAAAAAATACTGCATGAATGTGAAACGATCGAATAAAATTTCAATAATAAACTACTATTTGTTTACTTTTTTTTGTATAATTCAAATCCTATGCTGATATACACTTTCATCAGAAAAAAACTAAAACACTATAGTTTTCAATGTTAATTATTTTATATTGTACATAATTGATTAGAATGTTATGTAGTACATTTGTTGTTTGCTTATTAATCTATATATTTACATAACATTCTTTTACTATAATTGATTCCTATCATTATTAGAATAATAATACTTGCATAAACATACAAGCATTATTATGTATGCCATGAGATATTTTCTATAGTACATTTTTTTTCTCTCATTTTCTTAATATTTATCATTCATTCATCAAAATTGCATGAAATTATGGAACGTAAATGATGTTTCGATATGAATAACGTAAAAAAAAATTAAATAATTATCGATACGGTTGACATAGCTGTGTATGAG